TTGGTACCGGGGATCGAACTCGGGACCTTGTGCTTGCGAGGCAGGCGGCGGCACCACTGAGCTAAATACCCGGTCCCCTCTGGAAGCATTTAGACAAAGAATAATCATCCTTTTAGTTTATGTGCACTTATTATACCCATATGTAACAAGACCAACTGCAACAGATGATACTATAACCAATTATTCTATGAAATTTAAAGTCATCTTGATAGAGCAATAATCCACAATAAGACAGGTCCTTGCCTTGCCTCCATGTTTTTTTCCACAAAATGTTTTGTTTCAGAAATTTAACAGTTTGTGCTTCTGGGCATCTCCTGCTCAATGTATCAAAATGTTTGTAACTGTCTGAACTGTGTGACCACTCAAGAATGTTGTTAGCTCTACCCCCTTACAGGTATGTTGTTAGCTCCACCCCTTTCAGGAATATTCTGTAACTCCAGCCCCTGCTTCAGTGACCATGCTCTCCTGCCCCGTAGGCCTCTCTCCAAGGAGGCTCCCATTTCTAGTCAAGTGCTCAAACTTCGGAGTATGAACTCCTCTGAGCCCACAGGTGTAATAGAAGGTTCTCCACTTCTTCGAGTGACCTTCAGATTCTCGAGTCTTCAAACTGCGGGAGCTTTGACGCTGAGCTGTAACATTTGGCTGTGCCTCAGAGCTATAATACTTGGCTATAGCACAAAGCGGTTCTGCTTTGCCACAACAATCTCTGGAAAGTTAGCAATTGTAACCATAGGCCAAATGCATCCTACTGCTGTTTTCATGAAGACCTTTTTTTGGGTACTGGGGCTTGAACTCAGGACCTTGCACTTGCAAGGCAGGTGGTGGAACCACTGAGCTAAATCCCGGACTTCTTTAATAGAACACAGCCACACTCATTCATTTATGTATTTATATACTGTCTATGGCTATTACAATAACACAACTGAGAAGTTCCAAGAGAGACTATCGGCCATAAAACCTAAAATATTTACTATCTGGCCTTTACAGAAAAAAATTGCTAGACCCTGTTCTAGACCAGCAAGCCAAGAGCACAATAAAGCCCGTTAGACTCACCTGAGGCGTCGTCTTTCTGTACTGGTCACCGCCGTCTATCACGTCCTTCATTACTTTTTTCTTGAGAAAGTCATATTCTTCTGGGCTCAGATGAATAGACTCTATGGTGTTTCCACAACCTGAACACTGGCCACTGTAATTACAATTTTTTAATGTTCTGGAAAATAACTTTTTCTAAAATGAATAATTCTAACATAGGAAACTGAAAGGAATTAAGAAAGAACATTAAAATCTTTGTGATGGTCACATGCATTTGATTTTTCGTGAAAACATCACATATTTCATGTGCCAGAAAACCAAAGAGTACATTGCTGAGCATCCAGATGAGATTTTTAAAGTAATACCTAAAACACAACTGAGTCCCAAATCTCTAGGAGAAAATATTTCTGTGTCTTCACAGAGGCTCACAACATCAACAAGAAAAACATTTTGAGCACTACAAAGTCCTCATATGTAAAACATGATTTTTTTTTCCTCAGGTACTCTAATCATAAACTCTTAATTATCCTGTCCCTAAAGTATTCTTAAATATTTTTAAATCAACAACAACAAACCCTACTGAATCTGAATAAAACAAGTTAAAAATAACTATTGGCTTTTACCTTTTCTGGATTGTAGTAAACTGGCCTTTCCACTGTTTTCCAGGAATACTACAAAAAAAAAAAAAATCACAAAGCCAAATTATCAGAAGGTTACATTCTTATCGGATGAAAAATATTCACTATATGTAAAAACTCTGTATGGAAGAGCTTTCAAAGGTTCATGATACTTCCCTGGAATGGTTTAATGCCAAGAGCAGTTGTTAAACTGTGACAGGGTGAAGGAGCAGATGGGCCCCTCCTCCAGATCGACTTCCTCCTTTTGGTTCTCTTGGATCTTTTCCAAGCCTAAATAACACCTTCGCTGGTGCTCCACAGAAAGCAATGACCTCTAAACCAAACTCATCTCTAACTTTTCCATAGAGTTCCCAGATTGCTCCTATTTGGAGTAATTTCTCTCCTCTCTCATACTTTTCTTTTACAGACCACTCTTTCTTTCTTTTTTTTTTTTTATTGGTACATTTTAGGTATACAATATGACATTCATCATTGGAAATTTGCACCTTTACATAATCTCTCTTGCTTCTTATTTTTTCCCCATTCCCCTGCCCTCCCTTCAACCCCTCCATCCCTCCCTATTTACAAACACTTTGTTTCCAGTTTTTCATTTTCTCATATTAATTCCCTTCCCTTCTTTCCTTTCCCCTATCCTTCCCACTTCCCCTTCCCCTTTGCCCCATTTGTTCCTATTTCACATTATCTATTGTACCTTTTAGTCTTTATGTACACTTTGTTTCTCACACTAGAGAAGCTGTTCAGTATTTACACGTGTCCTATTTATTTCACTTGAGTATTGCTTCAGTGTGCATCCATTTAGCTATGTCTCTAATTTCTCATTTTTTATGACTGAGTAGTACTCCATTTTATTAAAAAAAACACATTTTCTTTATCCAGTCTCTGGTTGATGGGCATTTGGGCTGCTTCCAAGTTTTAGCTATTACAAATTGTGCTGCTATGGACATGGGTGCACATATATCACTGTGGTATGATTCTCTTAATTCTTTGGGGAAGATCCCCAGCAGGGGAATAGCTGGGTCAAATGGGACTTCCAGTCCTAGTCCTTTGAGGTA